TTGTCTCATCGAGAACCCTCTCCTTTAAAGAAGCTTCATACCGACAAAGAGCATATTGTCCTTAGCGAGACTAGAAAATTATTATGATACTTCAATAATTTATAAAAATGTTACAGCTTCTATTTGACATTTGTCATTTACAATTTTTATTTATTATCTTTATTTAATCCTATGTATGATATAATGATAACAAAGAACTTTCTTGAAAGATATTACTTCCAGAATTATTTATAAAAAGGTTACTTTATATTTGAGTAGCGAACAAGATTTTTCCTGAAAAAAATTGGAATTAATTTAGTTTTACAAGTTCCCAGTCAGTTTCGTTTCTCTGTCGTATTTGTGCTCAAAACTTCGTGCATCGAAGGTCATCAAAGCAACTTTAATAGTCTACAGTATGCAATTTGGGGGACACATGGCTGGTGGTGGATCATGGTGTGTAATCTTAAAAGCGTGCAACCACGAACGGAAGTGGCGGAACGTCTAGCCATATGTTGGATATTCTTCTTGAAATATCTCGCAACCAGACCTTCCTCAATCTTCTTGGTTTCCAATTGCTGGTCATCAATTCCCATGGATATCTGACACATGTTCGCTTCACGATCATCGAGCTACTTCTTTCAAATCCACTTAGGAGAATTTTAAATCGATATCCGTATAAGCATGTAAAATATCTTATATACAGGTATTCTCCAATATTTTTGTAAAATATCTACACGAGAGAAATTTAAAGATCAAAATAAACGTTACATAGAGATTAATTCTCAAATTCAAATTTACATCTTTTCGCAATTTGTTTGGTATATTATATAATATATAAAGTACGTAGACAAAGATCAATAAGAGTTAAAAAAAATTTAATTTCCTTGAAGAGATTCATGCTAAAGAATGAAAGTGTCATTACATTTTATTTATCATTTAAAGACTTTTTAGAAGACTTTGTACGTTTTCAATTTCTGTATGAGTATGACAAATGTCAAATGAATTATATTTCTTAAAGGGGAGAAACGTAACCATCGCGATAACCAATGCATTCGATTTCGAACGAGCAACGGGAGAAAAAATCAGCTGGCGGGCGGTGCCAGTCGCTGTGCCACAAATAGAAGTCGCGGTTTCCTTAGAAACGTGCGTAGCGCCCACGTGCCGTGCATGCAGACCGACATGTATAGTGCTGGATGCACATACGTTGATCGGCTAAAGGGCGACGGAAGCTGACTTACCGCTACCACTGACATATGCGCGGCATTTGACGATTTAAAAAAGTCGAGTCATAGGCTGTGCGAGACGCCACGCACAGAATTTTTTTGCTCTCAAAGTCATCAATTAACTCCGTCATCATTAGTGAAAGAGAAAATGTTTTCTTTGAAATATGTTTTTAGTATAAACAATTATATATTATCTAATAAATTTCTCGTATTTTTAGCTCATTAAGGATAATGGGATAATTTATAGTATAAATATTTACCTTTTGATATTAATTTTTCCAAATTCCTCTGGAATTATTATCTTAGATTTTATCACAAAATATTGATCTGCCTTTCTTTTAAGCAAAGTACCGTGCTTTTTTCGTACACACATATTTTCTCTCGGCAGAAATATATTTATCACAATATCACAGCGCGACAAGAAGCTCAGGGAGTAAGGAGCTTTTAGGTTTAGACGCGCGAGGGTTTGGAATGAGTGGCCAGCAAGTAATTCTCGACAATTATAAAGTGAGGTCATCTACGAAGTTTACGAGATGCGTCGTCGCGTCGAATTAATTTAATAAATTCCTTACTCGACTCCCGGTCACGTATATCGGTGTATGCGACCGCTGTGCCGGTTTTCTTCCTCGCATTTAGTTTGCCTCCGCGCGGAGACATTATCGTGAGAGGCGCATGAATCCCAGGTCTTAACATAGCGTTAATCCGCGAGGTGAGAGAGCACGGATTTCTCCGTCCTTCTTTCATTTGAACCAGCCAGTCCAATTAAATCTTCTTTTTTAAGTAACGTATTATACCAATAACGGAAATGCGTTACGCGCAAATTAAGCGCGAGATAATCCACGGTAATCAAGATAATTAATCGAAGTGGCGTAACATCGCGTCGGACATCGGGAGTCTCTCGGTAAGAACGTGTGCAGGGGTGGCCGGAAAGCCGTAGGCTAAAAGTTGCAGTAAATAATAGCCGCGTCTCGCTTTAGTAATTGAAACGTATTATAGAGATTAAATACGGTATGAGATACGGCCGTGCTACGACCATGTAATCGTGAGAATTTTTCTCAAGGGCCCTTCGACGGCAGAAGAGATCTATAAATTCGCTAGAAAAAAAATAAAGAAAACGGAAGAGTAACTTTTCCTGTAGTTATACGGATTCTTTACACAATAAATAAAAAGACATTTTAAACATCGTCAATTTTTATATATGACAATTTTAATAATTTGCAGTAAAAAGAAATGACTCTTTTTTTTTGTACATATTATAATAATTATCTCTTGACTTTTAAAGGATAATATCTGTATTTAGCAGAAATTAATTAGCTTTATTAGAAACGTCGAGAAGAAAAATGTTTTAAAAATAACATGAAACAAGCAGAGACTTTAACAAATTATATATTGTGTTGGGAAATAAGCATGGGACGAAGTTTATGGCAATCGTCACGGTCGTTTTCCGCCTTTGACTTATTCCACAGACATTTAGTACATGGAACAAAGAATCCAACGAACAATATGCTGGTGGAACCCGCATGTTGGTTATCTTATCAATAAACATTACCAGCATAGTAGCGCAACAGCTTTAAAACGACAGTGACGGTTTGCAATCAATTTCATACTGCTAAATTTCTCGATTTTTTTAAATTAATTTTTCTGACATAATTGAGAAAATACATTACAGATATTCATTTTTATTTAATTATGTAATTTCGTATTATATTTTTATTATATTTATAGTTATAATTGTAATTACATGAAAAATTTTATCTTATATTAAAATAATTTTTTATTTTTATACATAATGATAAATCTTAATTGAATTCTAGACTTAAGTTTCTCTTGATATTAGTCAGAAAATTCAATATTGCATATATTTTAAAATAAATAATTCTGTACACTTTTTTTCTTTAACAACAGAAATTTGTTGCAGACTAAGATACGCATGTTCTGCTTTCATTTATCGAGATGCGATATTGACTGATAAAAAAGAATATAAAGTCTGAGAACTTTCAGATTCGAGAGACAACAAATATTTCGAAAAAGAGCACTTCACATCTTATGGTAGTTCTTAGGTTCTTAGGATCTTAAGAGTACAGGCGTGGCAGATTCTTTAATTTATCTCTCACCACTTATGTATACCACACACGCTTTCCTCAAACATTTTTTTGCGGTTACAGAGAGAAAGACATTTCTTCCGAACTCTCTACGAGACACTATCGGGTTTAAAATGGATAATGTACAGTTCCCCGAAAAATTGATTTAAATTTTTATTTTTATTATTATTATTATGTTAAATAAAACTCACGTTGCTCAATAGTTTAATTAACATATTATAATATACATTTTTATAACATTTTTTAAATAAAAGATTAATAATTAAATATTTCTGTAATTCACATTGTTTATACACAATTTTATATTTAATTTAAATTGTATTACGCGAGAGCATTATAAATTGATTTAGAATAATATTATATTTATATATTAATTTTTATGTTTAAAGCTACAATCCGAATCACAAGTTGGCGTTGTATTATTAATTATATGTTTTCTCTATAGATCACACTTTTTTTACAGAACTTTTTAATTCAATATACATCATGAAAAACAGGAATCCCTGACATCTTTTTTCTCATACTGAAACTATCCCATGCCTTCTTTATCCGATGCTTTCTTTCAAAGAAAAATGAGGATTTGCCACATTATTTGTACATGCGTTTTTTCCCACGATATATCCGGAATCTACGGGATGTCCGCGACGATTCGTCCGTCCGTTTCCGAATTTAATTCTTTCCCAATGCAGCTAAACGAGAATCCGCGCGATTCAATGACGGAACACAATAGCGAGACGGGACAAAGGATCTCTCGAGGATAGACGGGATCTTTCTTCTTTCCCTTACTCCCCGGATCACGAAATTGTGATGGAAACTGTTTTCTTTCGATATAAATCTTCGACAAGGGTTCACAGATATTTCAGATAGTAACGGTTGTTGCGATAGGAAGACAATTTTCGTACTTGAATTTCACAATTTCAATAACAGGAGAGTGACGTTAGATTTCTATTATAAAAATACAGAATAATTCACGTGTTATAAAATGTAAAAAAATCAATTCTCAAAAGTAATGAAACATGAATTATTCTGCACATAAAAAATTTGTTTTACTTATGTCTATGCATTTAATATTTATCATATACAAAATATTAATAATTTTTTGTGATTTTTTTTTTTAGTTACAGGTTCCAATTAGGGAAGATTAATATTTGCAACAAAATTCAAGGTCCACTATATAATACGCTTCAATCAAATTTCGCATGATCTCATTAGACTCGGATGAAGATTATCTCGACAATAATATATGACAAGATATCGTAGACATGAGCACGTGTATTGTGATCAATAGCAAAAATTAGAAAATTGTACTTACGAGTACTTATCCATTAAGCAGATCTGCTTATTATTATAATAATTTTCTTTTGAATTACCGATAGCATGTGAAGCTAATATGCCTGTTACATCTTTATTCAACACATCAGAGGTCATAAAAGATTGCTTATTTGCATTGCAGAGTATCTTAAAAAGCTTTAAAGATTATTTTCTACACATATATTAATTGTGTTAATTTCATGAATTGGTGTACCATATACTTTCAAATGTATTAATTAATTATTTTCTTTTAAAGACAATGGAGAAAAATATTTTAATTCATTTTAGCAATGACGTTTTGCGCTTCCAGAAAAAAAATACTTATTTTATTATTTATATCACAAGTACAATTAGTTGTATTATGAACATGGTTATATTTATGCAAAACTATTTGCTGCTGTAAAGAAACTGTAAAGTATATAAACGTATATGATATGCTATATGGATAAAAACAATGATTATTATTATACTAATATTATCAATCGTTGATACACTATTTTATTAAACTTTTACAGTACTCATATTTGAGATTTAAAAGATAAAATTACGACATTCTTATTTATAAAAACAATGTTTATAGAATATTTATTACGCTGTGTGTTTATTATTGCACAATTTGCAACATGTTATACATATTTAAAAAAATAAAGGACATCATTAGGTAGGGTATATTTAAAGAAATAGGTCAATCAAACGAGAAAATAATTTAGAGAATTATGTAATTATATAATTATAACATTATGTAATTACATGTACTGCGTATCAATTTTACATTCGTATTGGCTGTATTTTTAGCCTCGTCTACAATAGTCGCACAGGCTGTGTCGCATGTGAGAATGTCGCAAAAGTGTTGCTTCTAGTCGCATAACTGTTGTAATCGCAAAAGCTCTTATAGTACGGAGTTGAGCCAATTTCAATTTTCTGCGATTGGAACAAGCGTGTCGCATAAGCTCAGCCAATTACAGCACAGCAAGTTTGGCGGTAGAATTTGTTGTCAAATTGCGTGCAAATAATCCTTGCAATTATGGTAAACGCTCATTTAGCGACGTGCGAAAAATTTTCTTGCGATGATACTCCTCGCGACACAGCCTGTGCAACTATTGTAGATGAGACTTTACATTGAAAATTATCTACATAAAATATTAGAATATACAAAAATATATAAGTATATAAATAATATATAGTATATGTATATCATGTATACATATACTATACATATATATGTTTATATGTATAATTATATAAAAATCAATTTACAACCGATATAGAAGGAATTTATATGCATTATTTATTCTACATTTAT